ACTCCTGGGTCTGAAGGAGGAGGGGCTGGGGGCGGGGACTCCTAGGTCTGAGGGAGGAGGGGCTGTTGGCTTAGTATGGCTTTCTTCCTTTCGCCTCTCCTCCCCACAGGTGCACAGAAAGACCTTGAACCCTGTGTTCAACGAGACCTTTCAGTTCTCAGTGCCCCTGGCCGAGCTAGCGCAGCGCAAACTCCACTTCAGCGTCTATGACTTCGACCGCTTCTCGCGGCACGACCTCATAGGCCAGGTGGTGCTGGACAACCTGCTGGAGCTGGCGGAGCAGCCCCCCGACCGCCCGCTCTGGAGGGATATAGTGGAGGGCGGCTCGGTCAGTGCCCCTGCTTCTGCCTGTCCTTCCCCGGGATCCCGGGCCCCTTGGTTTGCAACCTCCTCACCTTCTAACTTCACCTCCCCTGACTTATTTTTTTCTTTTAAGCACTGGCTTTATTGAGACATTTTGAAAACATACAAGAAACAAGAGGGGATGATGTCATAGACAGCTATACCCGCTACTTGTTAAATATCAACACTGTGCCCTAGCCCTCAGAGGTTCCAACCTCTGACCACCCTTGGAGATCTGTGGGTGGCGCAAACACTTTGTCTTTGGCCATTAGCTAAAAGTTTAGAGGTTCAAAGTCACCAGGTGGTTCTTCAGAAGAAAAGCATCGTACAGATGACAGCCAAGAAAATCTTAAGAAACAGTTCTCCGATGTAACATTTATGGTCGCCATGAATCGGAACTGACTCCTTGGCAGCCGTTTTAGTTTGTGTGTGTGTGTGTGTGTGTGTGTGTGTGTTTTAAAACCCCTTGACATCTGATAAAGAGCACCGGTGGTACAGTGGGGTTAAGCATAGGGCTGTTAATGGCAAGGTCGATGGTTCAAACCCACCAGCCACTCCTCAGAGAAACATGTGGCAGTCTGCTCCAGGAAAGATTTGCAGCCTTGGAAACCCTATGGGGTGGTTCTACTCTGTGACACAGGGCTCCCGTGAGTTGGAATCAACTCAATAGCATTGGGTTTGGGTTCTAGGCTTCAACTTTCTAGATTCCTAACTTCCCAATGCCCAGAATTCTGAAAGCCCCAGTCTTCCCATCTCTGAATGGCTTAATTTTTCAAACCCCTGACCTCCAACCCCTGTTTCTTCACAGTCCCTACCTGCATCCGGAGTCCTGGTGTGGCGCTGTAGGATAAACCCTGGACCACAAGGTCGGTTTGAACTGCAAGGTTGGTGGTTCAAATCCACCAGCCACCACTCCTCAGAAACCTTATACAGGGTTGCTCTGAGTTGTGACTGACTTGACAGCATTAATTAACAACCATAGCCTGCATCCTAAGAACCTGTCCCCTCAGGCTTCAGGCATACTGGGATTCCCAATCCTCTGATACCCTGAAATTCCCCCAGCAGCCAGACTGCAGGACCCCAACTTCCAGTATTCTCATTATCCCTTCCATTTCAGATGACCTCACCCTCTAGCACCTCAGTTTTCTGTATGTCTGTTCAGTTCCACTCCCAGCCTTGCTTGCAGGTAGGTCCTTTTTGGGTGTCCTGGCCTCTTCTGGACCACCCCAAACCTAAGAGCTCCATCTCTAATGTGTGGATTTCTCAGGATCCCAACTTTCTGTCAAGTTGGTGTGTGTTTGTGGTTAAGGAGATTGAGAATATGTTCATATCAGGAGAGGGTAGCTACCTAGTGGATGACCGTGCTCATCCTCAATTTCACCAGCTATACAATGATACAGTTTAGTCCAATGCCTACGGCCCTTTTTCCCTCACCTTCACAGGGCCTTCCCCCCACACTTGCTCAGAGAATCAAGTATCTAATTGCAAAGTCCCCCACTCCCAGGGTACCCAACCGTCCCACCAATCCCCAGTTTCTATCATCACCCATGGTAGTCTCATACAAAGGAACCTCCTCCGTATCCATCTTTGTCTCCTTGTATCTGTTGCTCCTCATTTTCTTACCTCTTCTTATCACTTGAGGAGCCTGCATAGCCCAAACAATTTTCCATTGACTGATAACCTAAAGATTGACTGTTCGAATCCACCTAGCAGTGCTGCAGAAAAACAGTCTGGCTAACTGTCTTCATAAAGATCTGTTTAAGTGCCATCAAGTCGGTTCCTACTCATATTGACCCTGTATAGAGTTTCTGAGGTGCGGCTGGTGGGTTTGAACCACCAACCTTATGGTTCACAGTCCAGTGCTTATCCTCAACCACCATACCGGGACTCCCCATAAATGTTACAGTCTAGGAAAACCTGTGGCTCACAGTTCTAATGTCATGGGTCTGAATTGACATGAGAGTGCAGTGGGTTTTCATTATTAGTGATGATGATATTACTTCATGTCTTTACTCATTCATTCCTTCAACTATTTCTTTTTCCAAATTTGAGCCTCAGGACCCCAGACAGTCCTTGGGAGCTTCCTATCTAGGCTGCCAGGGACTTCTTAGTGGACATGGGAACTTAAAGAAAGACGACAATAATTCTGAGTGATGAAGGAGGAGGCACTAGAGCAGAGGGGTCAGTCTGGACAATGGCCCTGAGGGCAGTGAGTGTGGGGAATCCAGGGACCAGGGCTGGAGCCAAAACAATGAGAATCCTTCCTCTGGTTACTGTTTCTCTCTCTGGGTCTCTGCTACCCCTAGTCTGTCCTCCCTCTGTCTCTGAGCCTCTGTGCCCCTCTCTCTGGGTCTCTGCCCCCCCCCTAAGCTTTTGCCCCCTCCCCTTTCTCTGGGTTTCTGTCCCCCTCTCTCTTTGTCTCTGTCTTCCTCTCTCTCTGGGTCTCTTCTCACCCTCTCTCTGGGTCTCTGCCCCCCCTCTCTAAGCTTTTGCCCCCTCCCCTTTGTCTGGGTTTCTGTCCCCCTCTCTCTTTGTCTCTGTCTTCCTCTCTCTCTGGGTCTCAGTCTCTGTCTGAGACTCTGTGGGTCTTTCTATGTCGCTCAGTCTCGGTCTGCCTCTTGCTGAGGTAGTTCACTTCTCCCCATCTTCCCCCCCACTCAAGCCTCTTCCCATCTTCCCTGCAGAACAAATAGGCTTTGACGGTCCCAGAGGACGGGTGGGAAGCCGGCAGCTGTGGTCCGGGAGTTACTAAATCTTGGCCCCGAGTCAGATTGTTAAGTGGATTGAAAGCCTGAGCCCTGGATGTCTGAGGGGAAGAACCTCAGGCGAGAAATGGAAAAGAAAAAGTGACGAGGAGATGGAGGCAGGAACTAGTTGAACCCGTTATCTCCACTGCAGGAAAAGGCAGATCTTGGGGAGCTCAACTTCTCACTCTGCTACCTCCCCACGGCTGGACGCCTCACCGTGACCATAATCAAAGCTTCTAACCTCAAAGCGATGGACCTCACCGGCTTCTCAGGTGGGCCCCAAGGCAGGGCCAGTGGTCAGAACGTCTGGGTCTGAGGGAGGAGGGGGCTAGGGGATCCGGAGGCTGGGTCTGATTGGAGCAGGACTCCTGGGCCTCAGGGAGGCGGAGCTGGTGGGTCAGGAGCCCCCAGGTCTAAGGGAGGAGAGGGCTGGACTCCTGGGACTGAGAGCGTAGGGACCTGGGGGGTCGGATCCCCGGTTCAGAGGGAGGAGGGGGTTAGGGGCGGGCATTACTGGGTCCGAGGGAGAAGGGGCTCAGTACTCTCTCCCTTCCTCAGACCCCTACGTGAAAGCCTCTTTGATCAGCGAGGGGCGACGTCTGAAAAAGCGGAAAACCTCCATCAAGAAGAACACGCTGAACCCCACATACAACGAGGCGCTCGTGTTCGACGTGGCCCCCGAGAGCGTGGAGAACGTGGGGCTCAGCATCGCGGTGGTGGATTACGACTGGTGAGCCGGCCACGGACCGGGCACGAGGAGGGTGGGGGGAATGGTGCATGGCCCACCCCAACATGTCTCCGCATGCTCACCGCCCCCCGCCCCCCAGCATCGGCCACAACGAGGTGATCGGCGTGTGCCGCGTGGGACCTGAAGCCGCCGACCCCCATGGCCGGGAGCATTGGGCAGAGATGCTGGCCAACCCCCGTAAGCCTGTGGAGCACTGGCATCAGCTGGTGGAGGTGAGTGGGACCACCCCCCAGTGCCACTGTCCGTCCACTGTCCACTGTCCACTCATTCATGCCACACACCTACCTCGATGGCAGGGTGGGGAACGTTCCTCCCGCGAGATGGTGTGGTCTGGCTCTGCCAAGGCAACTACAGTTCCAGCCATCACGTTGTTGTTAAATGCCGTTGAGTCGGTTCTGACTCATGAAGACGCTGTGTAAGGTTTCCGAGGAGCAGCTGGTGGGTTTGAATCCGAGGAGCAGCTGGTGGGTTTGAACTGCCGACCTTATGGTTTCGCAGGCCAGTGCTGATCCTACAGCGCCACACCAGGAGTCCATTGTGGTTGTTTTTGTTAAGAGCTGTCGAGTCGGTTTTGACCCATAGCGACCCTGTATAGGGTTTTTGAGAAGCGGCTGGTGAGCTTGAACCACCGATCTTGTGGTTCAAACCGACTTTGCAGTCCTGCGCATTTAACCCACAGCGCCACACCAGGAGTCCTGTTGTTGTTGTAAAGTGCTGTCGAGTCGGGTTTGACCCATAGCGACCCTGTATAGGGTTTATGAGAACGACTGGTGGGTTTGAATGCCGACCTTGCAGTTCAAACTAACCTTGCAGCCCAGGGCATTATCCTGCACAGACACATCAGGACTCCAGGCCTCCTTTAGGGATGAATTAATTAAATGTTTGACCAAATAGAGCAGGCTAATTTTTAACTTCATAATTTTGTATGGCCGGCAAATTATGGTATAAATTTTAGCAGAATTAAAGTTCCTCACCACTTTATGGGATCTGGAGCCAAACTGCTGAGGTTCAAATCTCCTCTCAACCATCTTTAGCTGTGTGACTTTGAGCAAGTTGGTGATCTCTCTGTGCCTCTTCCCCCCAATCCCCAAGTGGAAAATGGGGCTGTGAATTGTATCTATAAGTAAGTCCATAGATGGTGCATACCACCACAAGACCAGCAGTTCAAACTCACCAGCTACTCCTCGGAAGCTCTATACAGGGTCACTGTGAATTGAACGGACTTGATGGTACTTGACAACAACTAATTTAAAAGTTAACAGTTTAAAACCCCACAGAAAAGAGGCCTAGCGATCGACTTC